CAGCCTGATCAAGGACAACAATGGAAGATGAAAGGAGTTCAGCCTGATCAAGGACAACAATGGAAGATTGAAAGGAGTTCAGCCTGATCAAGGACAACAATGGAAGATTGAAAGGAGTTCAGCCTGATCAAGGACAACAATGGAAGATTTGAAAGGAGTTCAGCCTGATCAAGGACAACAATGGAAGATTGAAAGGAGTTCAACCTGATTAAGCACAATAAAGGAAGGGAAGTTGAAAATGGATTTAATTATGCAATTGTTGTAATGTTGTTAGGTTATTGATAACTTCAGATATTTGATTTTTCTTAGATTTGTGTTACCTTAACTCTTGTATCAGACGTTCTTATAAAAGTTGATATTATTATAAAGGACAAAGTGTTTCTCAAGTTGATCAGAAGTGGTTCCTACTATAGTATCATTATTAGGTACAAAATGTTTAGCATCGCTTACACGTCCGAATTATTTCTTGTAAAATAGTAATCAAAATGCAATTTTGTCTTTCTTCTTTCTCTTATTCTTCCATGAGTCTGGCCCTTCAGCGGTAAATCTGAAGGCTTATAACATTAAAACCCAAGTTTTGGTACCGGTGGTGGGCACAGCACAGAGAGCCCATTGTGTATATTTGGGCTTAACAACAAACAGGTTTGCTTTGATGTTATTTAATGATGTATTTTTTTAAGCATTTCAAAACATTTTGAAATTGGTTGATGTTATCCCTTTGATAGCATGCAGCTTTTAAGATCATAATTACGTGGATCTAGTGAATGGCGTATTAGACTGTAAATCCGATGGTTCATGATTCACTTCCCGTTGTCGCACTTGCGTTATAAAAGTGACAGCCAAATTCCGCATCTGAATTATTTGAGATCGTCTGAACCTATATTACTTCCAGTTGTTATTTCCTACTGAGCTCTTTCATCACGCAAAAGTTTGTCTCAAACACGTAGCATACATTATAGCTCAAATTACACAGTCTAAGTGACTGACATACCTTATAGCTCGAGTTACACAGTCTAACTGACTGACATACCTTATAGCTCGAGTTACACAGTCTAAGTGACTGACATACCTTGTAGCTCGAGTTAATTACAGTGCACAACTTACTGAGATACTACATAATATTTTCTTACAAGATAATTCTTTATAGTATTTTGGCACTTGTGTATAAAGTTATAATCATAAATAATGTTATTTATGATTATAAGAGAATCCTTTATTGTATTTTTCACACTGTTCTCATTATTTAAGCTACAGGTTAATCCTGCACGTGGCGATAGGAAATCTTCTGACGGTTGAATTCCAACCGATCCGACGAGATTAAAGCAGATAACTGGCGAAGGACGACCCAATAATTTATCTTATGCGAACAGCAGTTTACCAACCGAGTAGAGTTTGAGTTTTGATTCTCTTATCTAGGTCTCACTTTGAATAAATCGATGTTTGGACCTTGTTTAACATTCTACAATAATTTCTTTAAAATCTTAACACAGGCTGAAATACTTCTTATAAACCGCTACGTAGTTTCTAACGTTTCTCATTTTCTTATTTTAGAAACGTAGTAAGTTGTATAATGGCATCTGAATCGACAAAGTTCTGATGGAACACATTATGATAGATCACGTGCTTATAAAGAAACAATCACGTAATCTGGATATAACATTTCTCATGTTATTGGTTTTTTTATAAACTTAGGGAAAGAGTGACACTATTTTATTAAATATTGTCTTGGAATATATATATATATAATACATAAGTGACGATAATCAGCTTGCTATGTCTGCACCAATCAGAAGTAGACGATAATTAGCGACTATTGGCCTCTATATAACAATAAATAAATATATAAAACATAGAAAGGCAAATAAAAGAATATAGCTAGAAATCATATTATTTCTTTCGGAGGTAAAAAGAAAAAATTATGGGAAGCCGGTGGTAGAGGCGAAAAATTTAAACGCCTGAAAATACTTAGTTGTCACTACAAATGACTTGAAATATCGATGGCCAACAATACTTGTATGGAAAAACGTCATCATGACATATTATTTAAAGCAAGGTGTCCAATAGTAAACACCTTCTGGATTATCCCTCTTGCCAACAATGAATATAAAAAAGTAAGATATTTTGTTTGTTTTATAAACTTGACCTGGTGGTGAGGGCAACCGACTCTCAATCTGCGGGTCGAGAGTTCTAATCTCGTCACCGAATATGCTCACCCTTTCAACCCTGGTCACGCTATAATGCGACGGCCAATTTCACTATTTGCTAAAAAAAAAACAGAGTAGCTAAAGAATTGGCGGTGGATGGTGTTGACTAGCTGCCTTCCCTCTAGTCTATCACTGCTAAACTTGGAACGATTACTACAGATAGCCCTCGAGTAGGTATGCGCGAAAATCCAAACAACAAGTCACCTTTATATATATTCTTGGAACGAGCTTTTGAGCCGGTGAATGACTGTTGCTCTTTTAATGCAACTTATTATATATATATATATATATCCTCAGGATGTGTTTTAAACTCAAACCGTAGAAAAGATGAATGAGGAAACGCTAGTTGAAAGTTTACTGGTAGTAAACCTATTGTGCAAAGTCAATGAAATAATTGATGTTAATTATACGGCGGAGATCTGCTTTTAAAACAAACCTATTATTATCAACCATCTAAATCAATTAAAATAATCTCTGTTTTTCATTTCACCACTTAACTAAAGTAGGAGTTCAGAGACCATGAATGATAGAAAGTAGATGTCACGAGCTTCCACATAAACAGATAGTTTATCCGACATTTGTAGGATAATGGTTTCTATTTTAACCACTAGAGGACACTACATTGCAGAAAGAAACGAACACTAAATCTGCGATAATGATAATATACTTAGTTTTTCAATAGATGTACTTATAAGTCCTGTTTTATCTCCAATAAAGGTTTGTTTGTTTTTCTGTAGATATGCTGAAGAATTACAAATATTTTTTTTATTGCATGAAAAGAAAGAAACATAATATACAGCGTCGCAAAATGATTTTTTGTCATATTTATGATACATCCGTAGTCTAATCTGTGCTAATTATATATATGCACACATAAATCTGAAAGTGTAATTCACCGTGAATGATCAGGTACGTCAAAGCTATATGGAAGTTTAAATTCTTACCTTAGGCTTTGCGTTCAAATTACTATGAAAGTGTAAATGAATGCATAATAATTGCTAAAGTAAATACAAATATTTTTTTCTCTTTTTGAACCGTTAAAGAAAGTAGAAGTCTTTGTTGTTTAATAAATATTCTATTGATGATGTGTACAAGTACCAAATGACATTTCGTACTTATAAAAATGTTTGTTTGTATTTTCCATTACCAATTCAAGCCGTCTCCAAACTTCATTTTTTAAAGTAGGCCATTCGTCGTCAAATTTAACCCAAGATGACTTCCCCCTGTCCTGCTGATAAAATGGGTCAGTAGTGATACTACAATACCTCATAGCTAACCTTGTCCTGCTGATAAGATGGGTCAGTAGTGATACTACAATACCTCATAGCTAACCTCGTCCTGCTGATAAGATGGGTCAGTAGTGATACTACAATACCTCATAGCTAACCTAAGAAGACTTTCAGTCCCACACACTAGCAGGGGAGTATTGAGTGCACACGCTACCTGCAAGGTTGTTGTTGAATATTTATGTTGTTGGCGCCTTTAAATCGTAATTCATGTTACTAACATTATGCGTTCCAGACACGTAATGTTCGCCATTACTATCCGTGAAAATATAACCAACCCTCCGGCTTCTAGTGGGCATTATGACGCAGGTTTAAAGTATAAGATTTGAAGTTATGGTCACGAGGTACTACTTTACGAGAGGCATAAATTTTAACAAATTGCATTGGTGCAATGAACACTCTGCTAATGGTTAGCACCAACCGTCACTGCTTTGCCTCCCCCCACACCCCCAGTTTTAATCAGTAAAGTTATAGCTTTGAATGATTTTGTAAAGAAGTCCCGGGATTACATTATAACATTAGCGGGGTACAAATGACTCTAAATCTTAGACCTTCTGAAAGAGACCAATATTTAACTTGTGTTTTTGGAGCTACATATTTACACGTCTTACAAAGTTAACGAACTTTGTTAACAACTATCTCGCGAATGATCAACTAATATGGTAAATTCAAACTAGTTTTATGATATCCACATTTTAACACAATGATTATCTCTTATCAGTGTTCAATCAACATGGTCAAGCCAAATCAGATCTCAGTATATAGTGCTGTTGTTCGATTTATCACATGAGTGGCCAATAAACACGGATATCCAATTTCACTTGGTTGTTTTGGGTTGAAACTTGATGGGTAAATTTATTACTCTATTATTTAAAACTTCAAGAAGTGCCCTTTTACCCTTACACTGTCGGACACATGCATGTCCTTCCCAAGTTTGGAATTTTATACAAGTGGAGAAAGGGTATTCACTCCTCATCCTTCCTAAAGTTTACCAATTTGAAGTTTCAGGTATCTGATGAAATATTTAAACTTGTCTTTTTGTTTTTTAATCTTTTCCGAAAACTGAGCCAGGCAATGGGAGAATCCTTTGTCTGTAAACGTCGCAGTGAAAGAATTAATACAAAAACAGTTTTCACATGGTTACTTTTTAAATTCTACTTTTCATTATATACCGTATTTTTGATATTTGAATCACCTAAAGGGCTTTTAAAGTATTTCATTCACTGTTGACGATAGTATCTCATCACTGTTTAAACTCGGTTGTCGAGAGTTTATAAAATAAAGTTTATAAATAATTTATAAGATGTTAGATAAGCTTTTTTTCTGAGATGTCTATGTAAAAAAAAACTGTGTTATTATAATTAAGGCCTCTTTTCTATTAAAATAAAAAGCTTGTACGTCTTCAATTTCGTGTTTTTAAATTATTAAACCTTTTTCTTAAGAGCTAAACATATAATAAAATTAATCAAACCCATATTAAAACACTTTTTATGAGCCCAAAAATACGTAATTACGAACTCTTGACGGTTTTAATGACATGCAATTTATAATAAACAGTTTTATATAATTCATATTGGTATTTGGTGAAAATCCTTATTTAAAGAAAACGATGAAATTCTCGGATATTGACTGACTCCTATATCATACTGGTACATCTTCTACTGATCTTTTGAATTAGTTCTATTTGTGTGCTGATAGACATGTGAAAGGTAAGTTTTGGCTGCCAGTGCTTCCTAGTCAACTGTAAAACAACCCATGACAGAACCAAAATATTGTAACGTAATGTAACAGATCTTCGTGCTACGCTGTATACGAGAAACCCACTTCTACCATGTACGAAGCAGCTAAATGATCAAGGTACGTGAATGAGAAATCTAACCAAATTCAAAAGGACTGGAACTAGACGTTCTACAAGAACTGCAAACACACTGACAAGGGAACTTTCTATATTGAGAGGTAACAACAGAAAATCAGCAAAAACAGCACTCTAGAAAAAAAAAGGAACTAATGTAGATTTTCGTCAGCTAGGTTAACAGTTTACTTGTCACAGATCTGAGCTCTCCGTCTTCAGAAAAAGTCTAGGGAATGTGAGAAGAAGAAAAACCCTTCAATATTGAATAAGTTTAGCTTCTGTTACAGCACTAAGAATAATTTGCAGGGGTAACAATAATAATACATAGATAAGAGCAAAGTATGAAAAACTCCTCCGAAACCGAACTTTCAAAACACCGAAAGAAAAAAAAACCTCTAGGAAACACATACAGCTGAGAAAATGTCAAGGATGAAACCCTAATTTTAAGTTATCCCGAAAAAAAATGAATTCATCAGAAGAAGACAAAATGGAATTAACATGATTAAATAGAAAGCTAGAGATGAAGATATAACAGTGACACATCAACAAAAAGAATAATGTAAGTGATAATTTTTAACGCGCCCATTGATGAGCTTCTGTAAGAATATGACGTTTATACAAAGAACAACGTAGGCGATAATTTCAAAGTGACGATTGACTAACTTCTGTAACAGTAAGACATTATTTAAAGAATGGACCACGCGAAAGGACGTAACTGTTTACAAAAACATTAAAATACGTAAAGTTTCATGTATTTTACCATAGAGATATATATTATTGTCTGGAAGGGTCATGCAGGTCCTTATTTTTTATTATTCTCAAATGTCGTACAAATTCGAGAAACTAAAACACAAAAAACCCATGAAATACAATTAATATATTTTTAGTGTTTCTATGAAATTTCCCACACATGCGCAAACACATAAAAAGTAACAGGAAAGGTTTGGATATTTCTATATAATTACGTGTGAACTACAACCAATATATATCATTTCCACACTACATCCAGAACCATTTAACATACAGTTCCTTATCTTACTCAAGTTAATAATGATTTTACATGAGTATGAAGAAAAAAACCCCTAACCAATATTATAACAACCAGCTTAGTATAACGGACATATCGTGTATGCCAGTATCTATTTATGTAATCAAAACTCCTGCGCCATCTATTGAATGGCACCACAAACAAAGATACATACATTTTTTCACACTTTGGGTTTTCAAGATTCAGAAAATTAGAAAAATAACTGTGGTATGTGCAACAACCATTTCTTTATAATAAAACACAATTTTAAATAAAATTACTCTCCTCACAACAAGAACACCACTTTCATTAGGACTGTACGTGAAGGTTTGATTATATCTTTATTGATGTAATTTTTAAATGTAGTACTAAAAACTATTATTTTTTTCAATATACGGTACCACTTTTAATATATAAAAACATCATAGTTTATGTTAGTAAAATTTATGAAAATTGTGAGCTCTGTACATTGAATCATTTTGACGCAATGAGTTGAGAGCACAATCCGAACACTTTTCCCGTGCAGAACTTCCCAGAAAAAAAACAATCCTTTTTTAGAAAATGTTAACTTTTTTCTAAATTTTTCAATGAGGTATGAAAACTACGATTAGTAATTACTAGCACAAAAAGGGTGGTGTTTCTTCTAGTAGAATTAAACAACGAAAGTAAATAAAAATGCTTTCCACACTTTTACTAAATGGAAATCAACTTTTAAATAGTTTGTTTATTATATACTCACAGTAATAAAAAATATTCACCTGTGCTTATGAAAAGGGTTTCGTGTATGTTTACTGGATTGAAAACAGAAGCTTGCGATTGGCTTTAAGTTCAAGTATTAGGATATACCCAATTATATTACATCTAACTAGGCTTAGTTTCCTACTTTTTGAATAGAATGCTGTTCAGCATAACGCTTCCATTTTGATTGAAATAAATACATATTATTCAGCTTTATCAGGGTTTTCAGTTTATTAATCTGCATATTACTGGAGTGTTTAAGTATTTAAAGAAGTTATAAAGCAAGTTGTTATTGAATGTACTTTTTACAATAACATTCATTCTGTGTGTAATGCAAACAGAAGTCACACCAAAAACATGTACGTATTTTCCTGAATTGAAATTGCCTATAATATACATATCAAATTGTCGTAAAAAGCTATATGACAGTAATTTTTAGCCGCGGCTCATTGAATGGCTTTGAAGTTTTTCTCAAGTACAAACTTTTAGCTCAGAGCCCCGTCATCTCTTAACCGATTTGAGATCTAATTACAGTTTTAAACTCATGAGGTCAAGCCTTTTCGGTTGATGTATTTGACCACGCCCAAGGTCTCATTGATGAATTTACTCTAATCCTGCCTAAAAGAATTTCAAGCTCCGGGTTCAGTGAGTTAAATTTGCATATACTTCTTACTTCTGTGTAATTAAATGTTATAACAAACACTTATTTAATATTTCTTGTCCACAACACGAGATGAATGGTTTAAATCCGCTAACACTTGATTTGTTGATACTGCTTCTGTAATTTAAGTTTTACACAAGTGTATTTCTCTCTCTTTACATTTTTAGTTTTTAAACCATACTTCTTTAACAACAAATTTTAATGTAATATAATTCTCAACTTGTGTAAGTAATGGTTCTTGGGGGCTTATAACCCTAAAATCGATGTTCTATACTCATGGTGGGTCCAGAGAAGAAAGCTCATTTTATAGCTCGGTGCTTACAAACAAAAACTTAAGTTACGAGATGTTTCTCTTTTCATATATTACATTAAACACCAAAATGTTTCTACTGCTAATGAAATACTTCACTTACCAAATTTTATGAATTTTATCGTAATAAAATATAATTTCTAATGGAATTTTACTTCAAAAAACTTAACTTTCACTCTCTAATCGTAATTAACATACTTTAGATAGTGTATAAATAAGAATGGTTAATTTCATTGATTTCTAGATTCTGTAAACCAACAGTAAGGTAGTGTAAGGTGCATGGTAATGAGTAACTGGCTTTTAAATTCTATAGCCAATGTTATTATCTCTTAATATAATGTGAAAAACCACTATGTAGATTTGTAACATTTGAAATTTTATGCATTGAAGACATGTGAGCACAGTGTACAGCCAACTGAAATTCAAATTATACTACAGCTTATCTGATCAGAAGGAAAAGCCCCATGCAATGCGTCATAAGTGGCAAATAAAATTATATATAAGGTTAACAAGCTCAGGAAAGCAGAATACTTAATTTTTCTGATTTAACACGGGCTCTTTGATTTACTTAGTGATAAAAAAAAAAGCTTCATTAAGAAAATGCTCAATTTTATTGTCAAATTAAACTTGTAAACTCCCTCAGTAGCACAGTGTTAAGTCTGCGGACTTATAATGCCAAAAATCTGGTTTCGATACCCGTAGTGGGTACAGTGTGTAGCTTTGTGCTTAACTAAACACACACATTCTTGCTCCCTAGTGGCAAAGCAGTATGTCTGTGAACATTCACCACTAGAAACCGGTGGTGGGCAGATCACAGAAAGCCATTTGCAATTAACTAAAAACAAACAAACAATCCCTTGTAAAAACACATATGACTCACAGTCACCAGTATAAACCCAGAACACCTCTGGTGGTAATTGTATAGACTAGAATTCACTTTGTGGTGGGTGGCATTAAAATAAGGCCGTGTAATCTTGTTGCATCTGAACTAAAATATCATCTACATCATGGAACTAGAAAATGTTTATAAAATTAAGCTTCAGTGTTTAAGAACCTGTTTATAAATCAAAATTAAGACTACATTAATGTCACGTAACTTGTTAAGACTTAAGTTACACTTACAGTAATGTTATAATAATGACAAATCTGTATTACTATAACTTACAAGTTAACTTTTAGATAGTCCTTAAAAGTGTGAATGGATGAATGTTAAAGAAACCATGAAGCAATGAAAGTTAAATGAAATTATGTGCTTACTATTTTAATCACAGCAGCGCAAATAACTTTAAAAAATGTGAAACTGTAGTTTATGTAAAGTAATCCAAAATATATGAAAATATTTGTTGATTATCATGTTATACTGATCATCTTACAGAATGTAATTTAGGCTGTAATACTATTGTGATCATTGTACTGAAATCTGTCATTAATTAAAATGAGTACCACAAACAACAGATACATTCAGCTACTGATACTATGTCCATTTTTTAAGTTATTAACCATTCAAGAAAACACAAATAAAAAAGCAGACAAATTTATTTTCATGAGAACAAAAATTATTTTGGTTTCTAAAAATGTAAATTTTTTAATTTAAACTTCTAAACAACAGAGAAAGAGTTGAAAACATCAACCTGATGTTTTTTAGCAATGAAAACTTTACCTGAACAGTGCTTGAAATAATGCACAAGACACACTGAAAAAAAACACAACATAAAAGTAAACAGTATACACTTATACATTCCCACTTTGTGTAATAACATTGCAAATCAGACATATCTTAAACAATAATCCTACATTTAAATAATAATTACTTCGTTAGAAATTTTAAAGTCCAATCTTCTGTAAAAATTACCAGCTTTATAGGCAAATTTGGAACAATTTTTTAAGGTAAACATTTTAGTACACATTTTACTAAAACACTAGTACTGTTGACACCAAGAATTTCTGATGCAAAGGAAAACTTTAATCTGTCAAAACACAACATTTCAACACTTAGTTTTTTACTCCCTACAACACTGAAGAGAAATAACAGAACTAGTTAAAAATTAAGTCAACTTTACCAGGTGACCTGCAAAGTCAGAAGCTTTAGCACATTTGTTTTTGAGGTTGTCAAAATTATTTAAATTAATTTCATAAACTCCAAGAAGCAATGAAACAAACATTATCACAGAAAACTGGTTTCTTTACCATCACACAAATCTCTATTTACCAAAGCATTCAAGTTGAATGATCTTGAGACAGAGGATGTTTAAGTTAAAGCATAACTTTTTATATTACTCGTTTTTCTTTAGTCTCACGTTTGATATTAGTAAACCTTTACAGTTGCAGGCTTTGTCTGTTATGTCATACATTAATGTAAGATTGATATAGAAATGCAATCTTTTCATGTGTGGAAGTTATAAAAACTTAACTTAGTTAAATCACAAGCAATTTGTTTAATAAAACTTGTTACTCAAAAACTAATTTGAAACTAAGTGCTCAGATAAAATACACACAAGTCAGTGTTATTAGTGTTAAGTTAATATTTTTCATGCATCTTTGGACAAAGGAACTAACACGTTCTTATGCAGTTTGATAGATCATAACTTGATAGTTGAATCAGTACATTTCTATAAATTGAACAACATATACAAACACAACTCACAATTGCTCAAATATTTGTATGTATATATATGTGTATGTGTGTGTATATATATATATATATATATATATATATATATATATATATGTACTGATTCATGAAAAATATACTTCCTATATGATAATAAAAAGATCTACCACATCACAAAAACTAAAGCCAAATCCATACAAAATCAAATTTAAAAACAATTGGTTCATTCCAAAGTAAATAATAATGCCAAGCATCAGTTTCACTAGAGTATGATAGGCCTCAGATCATCAAAATATGACCAAACTGGTGGAACATAAGCTAAGCTATCACAGGATCAGTTTCACTAGAATACGATAGCCTTCAGATCATCAAAATATGACCAAACTGGTGGAACAGTACTTATTCTAAAGTGGTTGCTTCTGATTAGAGGTTTTATGAGAAATATTGTCTATTTAGAATAAATATTTATTTCACTACTATATTTTAAAAAAGCAAGGTTTTGATTATTAAAAATGGAAAAAGTTATACCACCCATGTATTTCTATAAACTGCTGTGTACTGCACAGAAGACATAGCACACATCAAATTAATACTACTGATACCCATTTATACATACACACACACATATTGTTAATTGTTCAGAACATTACAAGATATATTAGTACATGTATCACACATAAAACCCATACATCAGATGTATATTGCTGTAAAATTCTTAATGTTACTAACCAATTTTTTTCCTAGCTTTTAAAGTATAATACCTGATAGAGTTTAAGATCATACACAAGTTAAAGGATATTGTCATGAATAAGTATGTAACTTGCCATTAGTTTAAAAGCTCTACTAAAAATGGTTACAATGCAGTTACTATTCTGTGAACTTTTGTTATCCAAAATATGTTGCTGGTCTAAATCATATGGATGTTGGATGTGTATAAAACAAACTGTACTGCTTGTACATTCTTTCAGTTTCCTTGACTTCCAGTAGCTGAGTTCCTGTAAGAAGTGTAGTATCTTTCTCACTACCCAAACCAACATAAAATTTGCTGAAGTTCAGAACTTCTTCTTTAGCTTGTCTAAGTGACTTAAGAATTTTTTCAAACTCTGTACTAATTGTGTGGATTTGTTTCTTATGCTCATAGTAAAGATTGTTTCTTTGCTCATCTTGCCAACTTTCCAGTTCTGCAAGGTCCTTTTTCATGGACCAATAACTCTGTTGCATCAGTCGAGTCCTTTTCTTTGGATTATATCTTCTAAACTTAGCCATGTGAAAGCAGTGGGCATATGTAATCTCAGCATGCTTTAATTTGAATAAAGTTTTTAGAGTTTCTTGAGACTCTTTCATTACCACTTGCAGTTTTTGTTGGTGCTCAGTTAGTTGTTCATGGTATTTCTGTATCTTTTCATCAAAAATCTCAGTACAAGACTTATTTCTTGTGCAGAGTCGTTTATTTGGAGTAATAAAGACAATGTCATTACTACATACTCTTTTCTTACCTGACCTCACTGTTCTTGCCAGTTTAAATTTATTCTGAAGTCTTCTTTTCTGAAATAAATGAAATGTTAAGTTTCGGTTTGAATTAGGAACAGAAGTGTTCTTCCAAAGATTCCGGACAATTCTGTAGCACTGTTCATCAGTCTTAAGCTGTCTGATTTGGTCCCATTCTGGATTCTCAATGTCTTCATTTTCCTGAGAACTCTTATGTTTAAAAGGCATCACTGTAGATTCATAGTCAATATCTCCATTTAATGGTTTATTTGTTACCAGGAGACTGTTGTCTGTGCGAGGTTTGTTGAGATACGGAACATTACTAGTTGTCTGAACTAAGGTTTGAGTAACAACAGAATTTCCAATTCCTACCTGCTCACTAGCAACAAGCTTGTGGGCATTTCTAGCCTTTAGTAATGAATGTGGACACTCAGCCGGCAAAACAGAAACCATGTCTGATGCAGAGCCTCTTAAAACTGGACATCTTTCAAGAGAATCTTTGGATGTATCATGGGAAAAACTTGTGTCTTCAGAATAAGGTAATGGGTGTTCTAGTAACTCTTTCTCTTCATCAAGCACAGATATGATGATAATATCCTCTTCAACTTCTTTATCTGTTTCTTCCAAAAGTGACTCACTTCCTGACACACTACTTTGCCAGCCTACTAAATTCAACTCTGTAGATGGTTTCTTGTATTTTTTGTCATTTAAGTAGTGGCTCAACCAATCTTGAGAAATGTGATCTTCTTTTAAAAACACTTTACCTGAAGCAGTAAGTTCTGAAATATCACCAGGAGGTTTTAGTGAAATATTTATGTCTGAATTGATGGAATTTTTAATGTTGACATCAATATCAAGGTCCAAGTCTGAATCACATACATCAATTATAATACAGTCTTCTGCTGTATACTGCGAAGACAATTCTAGGATTTGGTTTCTTAGAATATTTTTTCTTTTGTCATGTTCAAACTCTACTGGTTTTAGCACCTTTGAGGTGTTGCTGAAACCAAGTGAACTGTTTAACCCTGAATTGTCTGAAGAAATAAAGTGTTTGTTATTACTGTCAGAGTTGCAGTAATTATATTGTTCAGAGTTATTGTAAGTATTATTAGAATTATCCAATGGTGATGCTAATCTGCAACTTCTATAAGAATCATTGTTAGCAGTATTCAATGATGAGCTTAATTTACAAGCATCACTGTTAGCAGTATTCAATGATGAGACTAATTTACAAGCATCACTGTTAGCAGTATTCAATGATGAGACTAATTTACAAGCATCACTGTTAGCAGTATTCAATGATGAGACTAATTTACAAGCATCACTGTTAGCAGTATCCAATGATGAGGCTAATTTACGAGAGTTGTTGTAGGAAGTGCCTAAAGGTGATACAACAGATGTACTGCTATGCCTATTTAATTGTAATCCTGAGAAATGCATGTTACTAGAATCATGGATAATGCAACATAATCCTTTCTTCATTTTAAAATCAGTTGGTAACTTTAATCCATCTTTCACATCAGAGTCATCAGCTATACTATCTGTAGTTGAGTTGGGTTTACTTTTTCTATGATCCCCACAGTTAATGGCATTCAGCTGTGATTTCAAATTGTTATTCTTCATGTTGGAACAGCTGCTTACTGATTATTCTAGTCCAATATTTACAAAATTACAGCTGGTTTTTGTGCTAGAAGTTAGCTATGACTCGGCTTGGTTTTTAGAATTTGTGTGCACATTGCAAGATAAGGGCTGTAATCTAATTTTTACCTCACAGTTGTTATATACTAGCAAATTCTTGTTCAAACCCCCTGGTGGATTTTCCAGGCCACTTCTTATATTACAACTGCTGGAGATATTCTCTAAAAATGTTATATTTCTACATCACAACTACATATATGACCATACATATCAATCAGTTATGGTTATTTGAATCAACCTAAGTTTTCTAACTCATAGTCTATATATCTTGACACATAGTTGTAGCTTGTCAAATAATAAAGTGAAAAGTTGGTTGAACATTTTCTTAATAAACTAATTGTATCAAAAGCTGACTGCACCATCCCTTTAACATCAAAATACAAAACAAGTCAAATATTCAGTCACAACATAAGAACAACTAGGTTGTATTTATAGACCTTTGTTATTTTTATATAATAATAATTATAAAATGAATACATAGCCTAAATATGTCGTGTCATCTTCAGATTTTCAACTGTTCTGGTTGTTTTATAAAAATATCATGTTCACCAGCATTTTCAACGCACTTAAAGCCACCTAAAAGTAAACAAGAAAAAATATACATAGTTGAGTAAAGCGTATTTTAAATGAAACAAAAACAATGCCATTTTATGAATTTCATTACTTTTGACACCTTAAGTACCAGACAGATAAAAAGTACTAATTAAACAGACAAGTAGAAAGCGTGGCACCAAATTGGTTTGTCAAGCAGGCAGTGTTCAATGCTGAAGTTACTTAACCATTTTTATTGTACCTGAACATTTTCACTGTAATAAGCTCTAAGTACTAAACAATGCTATCTTTGAAACTGATCAAATGTGGTTCATATATTTGTTTTGAATACCTTGGTGCATTTAAAGTTTTATCTCTCTACTGTATACTGTTGCTATAAGGCAACAGAAATTCCGGCACTGTAGACAATTTTCCTTAGGAAAATCGGCAGTGAAAGTGTTGAGGAAGAAAATGGTCACAGCTTGACTAATATTTCCTGACTTAGATTTTTACAAAAAGTGTTAATGTACATATTTAAATTCTATAAGCAAATGTATGAGACAATGAATATATTTTTTGTATTAACTTCCCAGAAGATCTGTTGCAGTTTAGGACTACTCAACAGGCAGATGAAAAACAAAGCACATCTGGAATCTGAATTTTGGAATGACACTCACACAGATTGTAAATTTTATTAGTATATTTTTACACCTATTGACTCACATATAGAACTTGGAACAAAAATCACACCCATTTTCTTTTACACTTGACATCTTCAAGGACATCAGATGTGAATTCTGAAGCACAAAAGCCCACAATTATAAGAATATTAATCTCACTTACTCTGGAAGTAAAGCACTAATTATTTTTTCTTACAAAGTAAAAGCGATATTTTGTGTTAGGATTCCAGAGTTATGGTGCTGATGTTATTTAATAAGTTGCAAAGTTTCCTTCCCTTTTTCCTAGTTATATGGTTTTGTACTACTAAAATTTCTATGTAACCAGCACTTTCAGAAGGTAACTTTCTTTTTCCGAGGCAAATTGGTAAAAAAAAAAAATAGAAATGAAAGTTGATTATCTTCAGTGGTGTTGTGTCTGTGGTAGATCACGTAATGAAATGACAACAATAATAAAAATAAATATTGTTAATAAATATAACAATAAATATTGTTATTAAAAATAAATAAATCACAACAATAAATGTATGTTTTAAGTACAAAGTTTCATATTTTTGGTGTACTACCCATATTTTACTTTCAGTTCATTTCTGCTTAGATTAATAATATGTATATAGATATATCAACACCTACCAATTACATAAGTTGTTCTTTTCACCTTGGCTTCAGTCCAGATGGTTTGGTTATTCAATTGTGGATCCATGACAGCTTTCACTGTAGTTCATGTTCACAATTTTCAAATCAAAATACCATAAGTAATGCATTAAAACACCCAACTGTCAGATAGTGCTTATAATTTGTATGAAACCTTAGTCAATTTCCTGCAAACAAAACAACAATTAGCAATAGAATATTTCAAGTCTTTTTTTTGGAGGGGCACATGATGGCAAATGTACCACTTTTTTCCTTTAGGCGACCAGGAATTTTTGAATGGTTTTCTTTGTTGAATCATTAGACTAATGACAGTCAATCAAAACAGCAAGAAATTAAATTAAACTTTCAAAAGAAATCTTCTTAGGGTAACCACATATTGGTTTAATACAGTAGGATCTAAAACAAGTGACAGGTTTAAAAACATTATATATCAAAAAAAGAGAAATAATATTTTTTCTTCCCCCATAAACAGTAGTGAGAAATGCCTATCAAGACTTTCTCCCACTTTGACCTTTATGCCATATGTAAATGTACAATATCCCCCATAAACAGTAGTGAGAAATGCCTATCAATACTTTCTCCCACTTTGACCTTTATGCCATATGTAAATGTACAATATAATGGACATGAATTTCACAATATATAATAGTCTTATGAGCCCTTGTGCTTTAACTTTACACACACACTGTTTAGTACTGTTGTTGGACTCAGTAGCTATAGTCTAACTAGAAGTACAATGTTAATAATAATATCCTACATAACATTTGTCAAGTTTTATCACTTTTGAGATCCATGGCCTTAAGTTTGTCTGCCATTCTAATCAGTATTTATTTTAATATTAAGTAATTACCCTCCCCACACCCTTTTTTTAAAGAAATAATTGATTCACCCTCCTAAGTATTTCCCACCTCTCCCATTACTGATGGCAACTCATTACAAAAGTTAATTACCCAGTTAGGACTTAAGCTTCTGTCCTCTAATCCTAGTCTTTAGAACAATTCAGAGGCTTTTAATATTGGATAATTTTGTAAAGTTCAGTAAGATCACCTCTTACCCTTTTTTTCTCAGGAGAACAAGTCAAAATAACTTATTCCTTCAAGATAACCTTTCAATCGACAGAATCATCTTAGTAGTCCTCCTCAGTAAGTCAGTATCCTTTCATAGATAATGTACAGTATTCCAAGTGAATTTGTGAAGATACATGTAGGTCTCTCTTTTTGACTTGTAGTTAATATGTATACAAATGAATTCTTTCATTCAGTCACTGCAGAGCAGATTCCCATCTATGCTGTAATCCCAATTATAACCCAAATGGTTTATTTTACACTTACTGTAATTAGAGATCATTTGCCAACTATTTGAACAACTTACCAATTGATCCAAATCCTTCTGTAGAGCGTGAAATACCCAAGAGTTTAACGTCATCATCAAAACTTTATGAATTTACTAACTGTGCCCCTATCAATAAGTTAACACACATAAAAAAGCCAAAGAGGTACACCATTAGTGACAGAGGATCAATATGATTGGACTCTATTAATAAACTTTTTTCTTCCTTTCTCTTCTTCACCCACCCATCAATCCACTTAACTAGTCTTTTTCCCAACCACCACTAGAGTACTTTTCTTAGCTAATCCTTTGTGTGATACCTTATCAAAATCCTTTTGAAAATTTAAGAACACCAACTGCACACCCTTTTCAACCATCCAGATAACACGTAACATCTTCATAAAAGTTAGATTAATAAGGCAAGCTTATCTTTTAGCGTATCCATGCTGGCTCTCTCTTATGACATTTCATTTCAGTTCCAATATCCCACAGAATGTCGAGTGTCAGGATTACTGCAAACTTCCTTTCTTGTAGAAACAGAAGAAAATTAAATATTGAAAAGCTCAACCATCTTATAGTCTTCATTTTATTAGTCACCCTTTAAGAACCAAATCTGCAATGTAATATTTCACTCACTTTTAACATACTTAAAAAAATCCATTGATGTTAGTTTTTGTCATTATTAGCCAACTATTTCTCAGAACCCTTTTTTGTTTCTTAATTTGTTTTAACCAAATGCCCAGATATCTTATATATCTTTGCAAGTCTTTCATTCTATATATATATCAGTTCAAACTTCTTAAATTTAGGATATTTAACCTTGATTATCAACTTTGTCTTTAGTAAGCTAATTAGATCAGATTTTCCCTGTTAATGTTATTATGAAACTTTTTTAAATTGAAAACAATTTTTTTTTCTAAAATTTCCCAAAATTGTCCCACATCAACTATTAACCCACTTTTCACTAATGAAACATTGTAAATCTTGTCTTATGGCTTCAAAACTGGTTTTCTGAAAAGTAAAATTTCTCTCAATCTCTACAAGTAGCAAAACATAAAAATCTAAAGATCACTCTTTTTCCACTTCAACTCTTGTATCCATATCCTCATTAATGGTTAATAATAAATCTAAAATGGCTCTCTCTAATTGGTTCCCTCATCATGTGATGAAGAAAGCCATTCTGAATTTTCTCTTCCTCACTACTTCACTCCATACAATCCCAAACAATATGTCTAACATTATTGGAACCCATAATTATTGCATCAGTATCCTTATTGGTAGCCCTGATCTCTTTACACAATTTCCTATTGACATTTATAATTATCAATTAGAAACTCTCTACTCTTCAATACCCTGAGTGTAACTCGCATAGATTAAAGCTTTTCACATCCAATTTTATGTATTCAGTCCAATAGGCTGCAACTCGTCCCATACATAAATAGTCATTCCACTCCCTCTTGTAGAAAGTTTATCACTGTTAAATAGCCTTATAACTTGAAACTTCAAAACAATTTCTATTATCAATGTTCTCCAAATCTAACCAAGTATTGGTAATTCCCATTATATTATAGTCTTCCATTTCAACTTGAGCCCTTAACTAGTCTGTTTCTAATATTTCTAACATTAGACTAACAGCATATGAACTTATAAATTAACATATTAAGTTTATACTTATCTTTAAAAATATTTGTGTTCTAAATCTTCTTTTTAGTTTACTATCTTTTATTTGTCTTAGCAGTTTGATTACCAAACTATCTTGCTACTAAATTCAGTTTAAACTATCTTAAATGAAATTCTTCCCAAAATTTCTTGTTAACTAGTATAACTTCTAAGTAAATGGATATCACATAATCCATCCTTACTTTGAAAACTGCCCCACAAGCCCACTTAATGCTTTATGCATATCATTGACAATCTTTCATTTACACCTTATATCCTGCTAACTAATTCATTTCCGTACCTAGCCTGAAGGTACATTGTCAAAAGGGCAACGTCTCTTTCTATCTCTAACATCAGAAGAAACTCTGTACTCTTCCATATTACAATTCCCTATATACTTCATTAGAATAATAAAACAAAACAAAAAACAGCATAAGCCTTGGTGACAGTAACAAAACTGTTGATATACTCCAAATGTTCTGCACTTTGACTCCTAGGAAACAAATTCTAGTTCTAGTCTTCCTATGTTCTCCACTACAAACATTTTTATTAGTATATTTCATTAGAGTCCCATAAATATCTTGACCATCTCCTTCCTCATTGAAAACAGCCAAAGGTTCAAATTTATTAGACTAGCATCAAAATGTTAACTAAGCCTGATACTACAACTCTAATACATTTTTTATTATGATGCATTCTTGTAAAGCCCATGCTCATTTTCACCTTCACCCACAACACTTATTTTTTCCTCTCTTGCTTCTTTTAACTTCTGCTCCTAAATCCTGAACAGGTACTCTTCCCCCCCCAATATTTAAAATCGAACAGAACAATCTACCCCAAGCTACTTCTAAAGTTCTATTTCTAACTTATCCTCAAGCAAGCAAGTTATACAAGTGTATCTTTCTAAACTTCCTGAAAATTGCAATTAAGCAGTCCAGATTTCTTAAACATAATCCAATCCTTACACCTAAAAGTTACATAACACCTATCTCTGCACAACCTGGGGCTCTAGCCATAAGCTTATTTAGTTTTGCTAGCTAGTGTAAGACATTAAGCCTGTATTACTATTAGTAATACCAATTTAGCTATCCAGTATTTGCAGATTTAACTAAAATTAAGCTATTTCACAATTTATAAATTAAACTTTAGTTAAATATTAACACTTAAAATTAAATCCTTATTAATTGATTAAGCTACTAAATAGTTTGCTAGAATTTGTGAAATATCTTTAATTACTTCTAATACTAATACCAATACTAACAGTTGTTAAGATTAAAAATTAAATGTTATCACACACATGCAAAAAATGTTTGTTTTATTACGAGGATATTATCATGATTCAGTAATATATTAAAATTGAGAGTTATTAATATTATATTTAGCATAAGTAGTTAAATTTTACATTTTTATGAAATCTGACGATTGAAATTTATTATAAATATAATTTATATTTTGATTTCTGCACTTCAGACTCAGTTTAGAAATTAGATTATATTCTAAGAATTTATGAGTCAAATCAAAGCAAAATATGTTCACCATACTATATCTGCCATATTATACTGATATATCGATGATAGCTTAACTTAATTCTGACATATGTACTGTAACTGTAAATTGTAGTGCAGGGAGTACATAATTAAGTAACGTAACTCACAACCAGCACATGTATGATGTAATCAACTAAACCTATTTTTTAAATTGTGCGCTCAGGTATATTATTTGTATGAACGCCATCTATAAAGATGATTATAATTTTCGTATTATTAGTAGATTACACAACGGTGATCACAGAATAGATGATTGACAACCATGTCACAAAAGCATTCAAAGAATGGATAGAGAAAGATATGCAGCTGTATTACAGTTTGGTATAATGACTTCGGATTCTCCTGTATGTTAAAACTTCTTTCCAAAACTGATTACTTCCTGAATAGAAAAGTTAGGGTGTATGAACGATTAAGTATGTATACTGCGTCGCGAAAAGCTCAAAGATTCGGGGCTCGGGCCCATAGGCACGGGAATTTTCGGCGTTTCAGTATGATATCCATCATGGTTTTCTATTCTGATTTTTCAAGACACCAACTGAAGATTCGGGGCATTGTCAAGTAGAATCAGGACATGGGTCTCGTGTGCAAGTGCCTAGCGACGCCTCTGCTGCCAGAACGTTGAATATTTTGATAACTGATAAAGAAGAATGATAAATACAGCAACAAAAGAGATAAATACAAAATTTGCTAGACGTTTCAACAGTCACCGGTCATACTTTTATCCTTTTTTGTTTTAATTTTTTTATTCATAACTCTAAAGAAAAGCTGTTATATTTTTCCTTACTTCAA